GTTCCTAGAGCCCCGTCACCTGGGCTTCACCATGTGGGTACAAGCTGGTTTGTAGGAACATGTTTTTGGAAGATAACTGCAGCAGTGCATATGTATGGCAAGGAGGGAAATATTTGTGTGGGCTTGGTGAAGCTGTGGTGGCTTGCTGGATTGATTCCAGTACTTGTTCCAGCAGGATTTGCAGGAGGAGGAGGTGCAAAGCCACAGGAAGGGGCAGCAGGTCGGCAGCAGAGCTTTCCGCTGTGGGTACAAAGGCTGTGGCCGCCTCTACACCACTGCCCACCACCTCAAGGTAAAGCAGGTGACATGGCAGTGTGCTGGCCAGACCAGTCCCAGGTTACACTGCCAGAGCAGAATGCTCTGTTGTGTGCAGCTGAGTTACATGCTGAGCTCTCCAGGAGACCCAGATGTGTCAGCTGGCTAAGGTGAAATCCAACAGGGAACTTCAGATTCTCCCCACCAGCATTTTCCCACAGTTTTCTTTCTTCCTTCCCTTGGATCTCATATTAGGGATCTGTTCTTTTCCAGGTACATGAACGTGCTCACACAGGTGACCGGCCATACACGTGTGACTTCCCAAGCTGTGGGAAAGCATTTGCTACAGGTAACAGATTTCTGTTTTGAGCAGATTTCATTTTCTGTCCAACCCAGTAGAGCACAATATCCAGAGCATCTAAAGCAAGGGAATCACAGCACTGGAGCCTGCTGGGACTTTATTGATTTTGGGCAGATAATGGTGGAAGCAAGGCTGGAAGTGGTGTTGGGGTTGGTTATTTCTTCCCTTTCAAGCTTTGCAGACACAACACAGACACTCAGGTACATGGACTGAGGGGTGGTACTCAGCTTGTCATGGTGTTTCCTTCTCATTACAAAATTAGTTGTGGTCTCTGTCCTGGACAGGGTATGGTCTGAAGAGCCACGTGAGAACACACACAGGTGAGAAACCCTACAAGTGTCCAGAAGACTTGTGTAGCAAAGCCTTCAAAACCTCCGGGGACCTGCAGAAACACATCCGCACGCACACAGGTGAGCAGCACGGGGCAAGAACTGCACAGGGGACAGCCCTGTGAAAAGGTCTCCAGGTGGCTGCATGGTGGCAGGTGTCACCCACAGCACTCTGTCCATGCAGGTGAACGTCCCTTCAAGTGTCCCTTCGTGGGCTGTGGCCGCTCCTTTACCACGTCCAACATCCGCAAGGTTCACATCCGGACGCACACGGGCGAGCGGCCCTACATGTGTGCAGAGCCTGGCTGTGGCAGGGGCTTCACCAGCGCCACCAACTACAAGAACCACATGAGGATCCACACAGGTAGGAGGGAGCCAGCAGCAGGGAGATTGGTGGGGCTGGAATGGGCATTTCCAGGCTGAACGTCGCAGGGGTGGATCTGGGAGTGGCCAGGGAGTTGGAGGAAATAGTGGGAATTGCTTCATTGGATTGATTGTTATTCCAGCAGTCTGTCTCCAGCTATTTGCTCTGGTGGAGAATCCCTCCCCAGAGCATGAGGAGGGTGAAGCTCAGCTCTGTGGCCTCTGCCCTAGGAGAGAAGCCCTACCTGTGCACCGTGCCGGGCTGTGGGAAGCGCTTCACAGAGTACTCCAGCCTGTACAAGCACCACGTGGTGCACACGCACTGCAAGCCCTACACGTGCAGCAGCTGTGGCAAGACCTACCGGCAGACCTCCACGCTGGCCATGCACAAACGCAGCAGCCACGGCGAGCTGGAGGCCACCGAGGAGAGCGAGCAGGCTCTCTACGAGCAGCAGCAGCTGCGGGGTGAGTAGCCACTCCCCCATCAAGGTGTGGCAAAGGGGAGGGAGGTGACAGCAAAAGCAGACGCGCCCCTCAGACCCAAATGTGTGCTATGGCTTCGTGCCTCCCCATCAAAGCCAGATCTATTGGAATAGGTTGGGAACGGGCCCCTGCCCATTCTGTGCTACAGGGAGAGGTAAAGGTCCTTCCTCCCAGGCCACCACTGGTGTCATCATGGTCTTGTGCTCTTTGCCAGCCCTTGAGACCACAGGCACGTCCAGAGAGCAGGCATGTGGTTTCACACTCTGATAGTGCTGCTCTTCCCCTTCTCTGATCCAGCTGCTGCAGCTGCTGACAGAGGCTCTCCAGTGGAGAGTCAGCATATTGCTTTCCTGTCAGAGATGGAGGAAGATGAAGAGGAAGATGCTGTGCCTACACAAATCTCACTTATTTCTCAGGATGGGACAGAGCAGGTATGGACACAGACACCTTCAGCATGTCAGGGACAGCAGTTAATATCTGAAGTGAGATTCTGCCTCTACTCAGCCAGGATGTTCTTTGCAGGGCCTTTTCTTTTTCCAGCATTTTTTTCAGACCTTGGAGCTTCTTGGGCTCTTCCTGCCCTGAGGGCTCCCTCCTACAGCCTCACCCACTGCTGCAGTCTTGGTTTGGGGGGTCTCTGGTCCCAGTGCCCCCCTTGCTGATGGGGTTTCTCGCTGTTTGTGTGGTGACTGGCAGCCCTTGGCTCCCTGCAGCTCCCCACCTCTGCTGACCCAGGCTGGATTTGGAGATGTTTTGTCATCACTTGTATACAGCAGTGCTTTTCTTGTACTTCCCTCCACCAGCTGCCCCTGTGCTGACTGGAAAAAACTTCCTTCTGTGGCACGGGGCAAGGGAAACAGCTGCCACCAGTGACCTGTTTCCTCTTAGCCTGAGATGCTCCTGCTGCTGCAATGCACAGAGCTGTCCCCATCCAGGCTTGAGACAAAAGGCTGAATGGGAAGATGTGGTGGAAGGGGGAGGGCTGAAGACTCAAACTCTGAGTTCTCTGTTGTCAATTTTATCCATGGTGCTGGGCAAAGTCCTTGGAGCTCTCTGTGCCTTGAGTCCTGCAGAGATGCTGTTTCCTCCTTGTCCAGACCAATGCATTGCTAAACTCGGAGGTTGCCTAAGACTCCCTGAGCTCTGCTGTCACCCCCAGGTCAGCCTGTCTCAGGAGGAGCTGCAGGCCCTGGGCAGTGCCATCGGCGTGGTGACGCAGAGCGGGGTCCTCGCCGTGCCCGAGGGACAGCTGGCAGCTGGTGACACTGGGGCCATGACTGTGGCCAGCACCGATGGCACCGAGGCACAGGAGGTACAGACAAAGCTGGGACTGCCCAGGAAGCAGGCTTCCTCTGCTAGAAGAGAGCTGCATTTTCATTTAAAACATGATTAACTGACCTTTTCCAGGTGGCCGTAGTCGCTTCTGGGGCAGAAGAGGAGTCGGGCATCACCCCGCTCTGTCATCAGCAGGTGGCATTGCTGGCCACCTCCCATGGCACCCACATTGCTGTGCAGGTACCACATGGCTCTTGCCACTGTCCCCTTCACTCCCTGGCCACCCACTGCCTGCTCTCAGGCCCTGCTGCATCATTGCTCACCTAGGGGGCTTGCTCCTTAATTCCCAGAGACCCTGTGTGCAGAGGACAACAGGGACATCCTGCTGGGATTGCAGAATGCTCCTCTGTCAACACCCCTGTCTGCCCTTCTGCTTCACACCCGTGTCACCCCTGTGTCCTGCTGGGAGCCACCCTGAGCTGCCTTTTAGGGGTTCATCACTCTCTCTCTCTCTCTCTCTCCCCCAGCTGGAAGAGCAGCAGAGCCTGGAGGAAGCCCTCAGCATGGCCACAGCAGTCATCCACTACGAGCCAGTGCCACCTGACACAGCCCTGCCTGAGCAGGGGAGCTGAGGCCAGCAGGGCAGCTGTGGCAGGGGAGTGGCAGCCCCAGCCTGCCGTGTGCAGGGGTGGCGGGGCAGGGACAGAGTCTGAGCCAGTGCCAGCGTGTGCCCTGTGCCAGCTGGGACACGGAGGGGGCACAGGGCTGCTGGGGTGACCCTGTCTGAAGGGCTCTTCCCTCCGGGGAGGGAGAGCAGATACACTGAGCTGCTGCCTGCTCCTGGGCTCTGAGCAGCAGCCTCTCTTCAGGGCACTCCTGCCCTCTCCCTCTAGGAATGGCCCAACAGCTCCCCTTTCTTGCCCACCCTTCCAGCTCAGGGGAAGTGGGCAGCACTTGCACAGAAGCAATAAAGGCCCATCAGAGCCAGCCCTGTCCTGAGCTCGGTATGGAGGGTGAGCAGTTCCTGCCATTGGAGCCAGCACTGGGATGGTTCCAAGAGCAGTTCTCCCATCTCTTTGTCACACTTCCTTTTCAAGCAGGGCTTCCATGGCAGATTCATTGGCTGTGGAGCAGAGCAGCCAGCACTTGCCAGGAGCTGAGCTAGACCTGGATGTAAATGCTGAGTTGAAATAAAAACAAATTCAAAATTTGGTTTTTAAAAGGACCTCTCTTCTCTTTGGTGGAAGCTGGGAGGAGAGGGTGGACAGTGTGTTCAGCAGCTGTAAGAATTGAGGACATTGAGGAGATTTGTGGAATTGACCAAACATGTCCTGCCAAAGCAGCAGCTGTCCCAGAGCAGGGCTGGGAGCAGGGCGAGCTGTACCCTCTGAGCCCTCAGCGTGTGGCTTGGAGGGGCTAAGACATGTCCCTAAAATCTCTCATCAGGCCTTGCCTCTTCCAGGGACCCCTACAAGCCTAGATTTAGGGAACCGTGTCTGTGAACACATCCTACATCCTCCCCTGAGCTGGGGAGAGAGACCTGGGCTGGTGTCCTGTGCCTTCAGTCCCTTCACTGCCCTGGGTGCTGCGTGGACAGAGCTGGAGAACACCTTCGAGATCCTCGAGTCCAGCTGTAAACCTGACCTGGCACAGGCTCCCGGCAGCCGCGTGGGCCGTGTTTCGGACATCCCAGAGGAGTTTGCAGAGAAAGATGTTTCCGCGGGCACGGACCGGGCACAGCCCGAGAGGCGCCACGGGCCGAGCCTCCGCTCGCCGGGTGACACCGATCCCTTCCAAAGGCTGCCCGGCGAAGCTGCTGCTTGAGCCAGAGCGGGGATTTCTCACCCCAAAACGCAAATTACCACGGATCTTTTGATCTCTGAGCCGAGCTCGGCAGAGGGTCGGCGAGCCCCGGCCGTGCGGGGAGCGGCGATGGGGCCCGGGGGCTCCCGGGGCGCCCCGAGCAGGCGGCGCTCCCGCCCCGGTCCCGCCCGCCCGGGCGGCTCCAGGAACCGGATCCGCGGGCTCGGCAGAGCCGCCGCCGCCGCCGCCAGCCATGGACCTGCGAGCCGAGCTGCTCAAGTCCATCTGGTACGCCTTCACCGCCCTGGACGTGGAGAAGAGCGGCAAGGTGTCCAAATCCCAGCTCAAAGTGAGTCCCCCGAGCTCCGGCGCACGGATGGAGGAGGGTGGGCAGCGAGCGGAGGAACGAGCCCGGTGCTGCTTTGCATCCCCGCGGGTTTCCGCGGAGAAATTGTTAAATATTAAGATAAGATCTTCTTGTTGCTTCCACGCTGGTTCGGGTGAAGTTCTCAGGCTCTGTGGCATCTCCCTTTAAAAAATGGGGTGGGGGGGGAATTCATGCTCAGATGTGTTTTCTAGGTAAAAATGATAAGAAATCGAAATTTTAGTTATCAGTTTCGTGTGCTTTTTATGGCCAGCTAAGAGCCCAAATTCTGTTTACATTTTCTTGCTTGCCGGAGCACCTGTGTTTCTCCTTGCTGAACCAGTGGGTCAGGAGGTAGGGACAGGTTGTTTTTTTAACAAAAGATCCTCAGTGATGTGGCTAGAAGTAACACAGCACTTTTAAAAACTCTCCGCTTTCCCCTCTCCCCACTCCTAGCAGCTTTCAGAGAGGGCTCATGCCCTCAGCCCTTCATCAAACCCATCACAGCTTTAAAAACCTTTTTGTCTGCCCCCAGGCCAGGGTTGCTGGCACCTACCAGCGAGCCCCTTGGCTCTGAGAATAATTGATTTTTTTAACCCTTGCACGCGGTGGGAATGTGTTTTTTTCATCTGTTTTGGTTCTTAGGCTGGGGTTGGAAGTGCTGGTTGGTACCGGGGTCTGGGATGAGAGAGCAGACCTGAGCAGGAACGTGCTGAGCACGGGAGGTATTGCGTCAGGACATGGCAGCTGCTGCCAGCCTGCGAGACCGTTTTGAACCTCTGCAAAAAAACCCCATTTTCCTCCATTCCCTTTATTTTATAGGGCTTCCCCAGGGCAGACTGCAGAGAAGGTGCTGGTCTTTGGCAGGGGGGTGTGTTTTGCGACAGAATTAAGAGTTTTGTTTGCAGGGATCTGGGGAGGCAGAGTCTTCCTGCTCAGCCTTTGCGGCTCAGAGCCTTTGGCTGCCCCCCAGAACTCGTGGCATGTGCCCTGCGAGCCACGCTCACCTGCTAAAACTGTAGAAATAGCTGAAGGAATTAAGGAAAATCCTCAAGTAGGCCAGAGCTTAATTCGGTTTGCTAATCCCTGAGAGGGGCTGCTGTGCTCCCTTCACAGCACCCCCTGCACCTTCACTGCTCTGGGTCCAGAGTCTGGCCCAGGCATGGGATGGTCCCAAAAGGACCAGCACTGCTTGTCTTGAGACATCTTTATCACCTGTGACGATGCTGAGGCCACAGAGAGTCTGATTTTAATGGCAATTTCATGGACAGTTCATGCAGGGTCTGCAAACGTGGTGTGGGCGCCGTGGTGATGCTGGGGATGGCGTCTCCGAAGTGACTTTACCCAGGGGGACACTTGGGAGGGGCAGGGATGTTCTCCCACGCGCCCTCAGTGACGGGATGGGTTGGCAGCAGGTCACTGAACAGCACAGCTCAGCTCTGGATGACTTTCCCACTGTCTCCAGGCCGGGGAGAGCTTTTTTCCACCCACAGAAACACTCGAGTTCGCCCCAGCCTACGCAGGCCAGCCGCGGTTCAGCGAGGGAGGAATCCGGGGTCCCTCTGCTCTGAGCAATGTGTTAAAGCCACCGAGCCCTCTCCAAACCCCTCCAGGGTGCTGAGCCCTGAGCTGCGCCGTGCTCTCTCCCTCACCCGGGCGTGTTGCTGCACGAAGGGTCTTGAACAGGGGTGGGAGAGACACCGGGCTTGCACCTAGAGGACGGAGCCAGCCCCGGAGCTGGCTGGGGGCGCAGAGCCGGAGCTCCGGCCGCGCTCCGGGCAGTTCTGAGAAGGTGTTGGGGTTTCCAGCATGAAGACACAGCTGTGGGAAGCCGTTAGGCTCCTTGCTGGGGCACCTCTGCGCAGGCAGGCGTGTGCAGATGCTGCTGGCAGTGGAGGTGTGTGTGTCACAGGAAGGAAGGACAGCTTGCGGTCGGTGCCGCGCGCCCAGAGAGCTCGCGAAGTTTTTGCTCCCAGCACAGGCACACCACAGCCCTGCTCTTGGGAAGACTTTGTGCTCTCAGTGCCGTTGCATCCCTCTCCCTGGCGGGGCTGGAAGGGCTGTGGGTGCAGGTGGGGTGTGGTCCCTCAGTGTGGCCATGCGTGGCTGGAAATACCGGGAACTGCCCTGGTGCTTTTGGGCTCCTCTGCTCATGGGTGATGGGTGTGACAGCGGTGGGAGAGGGTGGAGAACAGAAGCAAGGCTGCTGCTCAGAGGAATCCAGGGCACTAGGAGGAGGCAGGCAGACCCCTGCATGCCACAGGGGAAAGATTGTACCAGCAAACTGCTTTCTAGCTTCCTTTCCCCCGCTGTTCTCCTCCTCCTGTCACTGTTTCAGAGCCTGCAAGGGTTTCTCACCTCTCCCATCTCCAGCCATGCCACCACTGACCAGGCCAGGGCTTTCCTCTCCCTTTGTCAGTGACAGCCCTGCGACAGGAGGGGCTTTGGGTCACAGGGAGCCTGGATGGATGGATGGATGGATGGATGGATGGATGGATGGATGGATGGATGGGCTCAGGGTGTCCCCCACGGCCAGGGTCACAAGTGAGACCTCACAGGGTTTTTTAGGGGTGCTCTGGGAGTGGGGGTGAAGGATGGAGATGAGGGTCCACATTGGAAACACAGAATGGGATACAATTCCCAAACTTTGAATTCATCCTGATGGACTGGTTACCATCCTGGAGGATGTCCATGACATTCCCAAGCCTTTCCACCGCTGTGTGGACCCTGGGGCTGCACTGAGCCCCAAAAGGCACAGTGCAGCAGCAGTGCTCGGGGCTACAGCCCTGTTCTGTGAGCACAGGGTGGAGTCCTGCTGATCCCATTGGTCCAAAGGGCAGAAAAGAGAATGAAAATCTGGTCGAGCAAGAACTGTCTCCAGCTGCAGCAGCCACCATGGCCTCAGGCAGCTCCTCTGCTGCTGGGAGGAAATTTCCAGCCCTGCAAAGAGGAGTAGGGATGCTGTTCCATCTCCTCCAGCCCCTCTCTTGAGCCCTTGGCAAGCTGCATTGGCAGATCTTGGTGCAGTGGGGAAGTGTCAGTCACTTGTTTAACCATCTCCTGCTTCTGGGATGTAAAGGCAAGGAGAGCACCACAAGCTAGAGATGCTGCTGGTGCTGATGGGCAGCCTTGCTCCAGGCTTTCCAGCACATGGGAAATGCATGAGCTTGTCAACATGCTTTATTTGGGGGCATTTGAACAAAGTGGGCTGTTGGCAAGCCTTGCTGAGTATTTCTGGGGGTGGTCTGTCTCCAGTTCTCCATTCCAGACAAAACCTTTGCTTAGTTTCTCACCAGTCTTTCCTATTTTCATGTTTCCATCTTTCTGTGTCCCCAGCAGACAGTGGCTGCTGCCAGGCTGGGCCATGTTTGTGCCAAATGCATGGCTTGGGGTGGCTTATCAGCTTTCCTAGATCAGAGTGAGTCCTGTTCGCTCTGAGAGGTTTGAAACAGCCCTTTCAAGAGAGAAGTTCCTCATGTGCCAAGAAAAGAAACTAACGTGGAAAAATCCTCGATTTTTGCTTGTTTCTAAATGATTCTATAAGGTTTACATTTGAGAATTGTGCCAAACCCAAACCTTGAGGAGGTGATGCCACGCAGGGCACAGTCCCCAGGGGGGTGAGTGAGGAGGTGGCACCTTGGGGATGTGCTGGGGCAGGGCTGGAGGTTGTTCACCTTCTCACCACCCCCTGTGCTTGGCCAGGTGCTGTCTCACAACCTGTACACGGTGCTGTGCATCCCCCACGACCCCGTGGCACTGGAAGAGCATTTCCGTGATGATGATGATGGGCCTGTGTCCAGCCAGGGCTACATGCCCTACCTCAACAAGTACATCCTGGACAAGGTGAGCTCCTTGGTCATCCCCCAGAGCTGCTGTTCCTCACGTGAGAGCATGGAGGTTCCTGGGAGGTCCCCTTAGCTCTTGGGAACCACATTCCTTGGTGGGTGGAAAGAGGTGCAGAGAGATGGGTGAATGCCAAAAGGAGTGAGAAATGTTTAATGCTCAGTGTCTCCCTGGCAAGGATGGAGTCATCCCTTCACGTCACAGCTCTGCATGGAGCAGTATCTCTGCCCACATTTCCTGAAGGGCTCAGAGAGAGAAATCAGCCCCTTTTATCCTCACCTTTGAGGTGTGACCTCATTTGGCAAAGAGCAGAGGGAGGAGGATGAGCTGCAGAGCTGGGGTGGGCAGGGGCTTTCTCCCTTTTTTTCTGTGGTTCAAAGACACCTTTGTCTGACACAGCCAGAGGTTGGTCTGTGGGTGCTGTTTCTTCCAGGCACGTGAGGAGAGGAAGAATGACTGACAGCTTTCTTCCACTGTGTGCTCACAGAAAGGGGCCAGAGCTGGGTGCAGTAACCCTTCACTCCCCTGGCTCTCCTGGTGTTCTTGTCCTGTGCCAGTCCCCATCCCTGTGCCCCTGGTCAGCAGCTGCCCAGCTTGGTCCAGCAATGCTGGTCTTGGCTGCAGGGATCTGGTCAGCAGCAAGCAAGGGCAAAGCCTTCCCCAGCTCCCTCAGCCCAGAGCAGGAGCTGCCCAAGGTCAGCCCAGCCCAATCTCCCCATCACAGAGTGGCCAAAATCCTTCCAGTTGCCAAAATCCTTCCGTGGTTCTTCGGAAGGTGATCTTTAAACCCACCCCTTCTGCTTTCACCAGGGCTAATAGAATCCCAGAGGCAGCCTGAAAAGGGGGAAGTGGGTTTTCCTAGTAAGAGAAGCTTTTAGCTTTTGTCACCCAAAGGTTCTCCCCCAGCTTTGCTGCTACAGGCCACAGTTTGCTCCTGTGCTCACACAGCTGGGATAGAGCACCCAGGGACAGCCAGAGCTCCTCTGATCCCCATCACAGCTGACCCATCTGCACCAAATGTGCTGCCCGAGGCAGCTCACAGTGCCAGGACACAATTAAAGAGCAGCAGCAGGGATCAGGCTGGTGGAGGCACCATTCCTGCTGGCTTCCCTTCACTCCTCAGTTCCTCTTTGTGGTTGAATGGGATAACAAGAAACCCCAAATCATGGAGGCACTGAGGATGAGAGCTCCACGTCATCCTGCCTGTGCTGCTCCCCAGGGTTCCTGCTGGTGCTGCCAGTCACCCCATGGACAGATTTTAGGAGTGAGGGATTCTTCTCTCTAGCACTTTTTCTCCCAGACTCCCCTCCATAGCTCTTCAGCTCCCCACTCAACCCCTGACTCCTGCCTGCAGGTGGAGGAAGGTGCTTTTGTCAAAGAAAACTTCGATGAGCTCTGCTGGACGCTGACGGCGAAGAAGAACTACAAACCCGACCGGAACGGGAACAGCGTTGTGTCCCACCAGGATGCTTTCAAGCTCTGGTGTCTCTTCAACTTTCTGTCTGAAGACAAATACCCTCTTGTCATGGTGCCAGATGAGGTAGGACCTGCTTCTCCCCCCAGCCCTGTCCTCCCAGGGCTCCATGTGCTGGCAGAGCCCCATTTGTGGGTGACACTATTGCTCCCTGGCATGTCCCACTGCATCCTGCAAGATGTGGTGTTCCAGGGGATGAGAGAGAGGAGGCTGGGGGTGGGACAAGGGGGCTGTCTGCCCTGGACACCTCTGCTGTGCCCACAGCCACCCCCACTGCCCAGGGAGAAGAGGGGGATTTCAGAGGGGAGACCCCTCCAAAGTGCTCCCCTGCTTAGAGGGCAGTGGCAGAGCAGACCTGGCTGTCCCTCTCCTGGCCACTGCCACCAGTGCTCAGCCCCTGCCCAGCATGAGGAGTGTTAAGGGTGAGGTGCCAGCCAAAGAAAAGCCTTGCAGTAATCTCCAAATTCCACAGCATTCAGGGGGGAAGGTTCTCCCTTTCTCTGGGGTCAGATTAAACCCCCATGAGAAGGGGGGCAGGTCTGGGGAGAATGCACACGTGCAGAAGCCAAGAGTGGCCTCAGCAGAAGGAACTTGGCTGGGCAAATGGCTGCTGTTGTCTTCTACCCCTCAACCTCCTGAGATCAGCAGAAAAGTTAAAATTAAAAAAAAAAGGAGGAGAAAAAAGGCAAGAAGCACCGTGCTGCGCAGACGTAGGAGGGCGACCGCACTTCCTGTGCCCTGGGAGAGGAGTTTCCTGTTCCCCAGACCATGAAAAACTGAATCATCCTGAGCACCAGCACTCCATTCTTGCCCTTTTCACAATTAAATGACATAAAAAATCCAGCTGGGTGTGGGGACCCTGCTGTGTGTCACCTTCCTGCGTGGTTCCCTGCAGTCACCCACTGGTCTCAGTCCCCAGCCTGCCCCCAGGGCAGAGGAGAGCTGTCAGCAAAACTTGAGCTGGAGTAAGTCTTCCCCACACCATGTCAACCACCTTGACTCTTTTTATTTGCAGTTTTAAAATGATGCTTATCTCCATAGGGACCTGTCCCCCTGCTCCTCCCCAGTGATTTTTGGGAAGCAGTGAGACATCAGTCCTGAATGGGGTTCAACAGTGCTGGCCTGTACTCCTTCAGGCTCTTGACTGCTACAGAGTTTTCTTACTCTGCAGACAAACCAGACAAAACATCCCTTAACCCCAGCCTTGGGGTTGAAAGGAAAAACCTCTCAGTAGAGGTCAAACTCTAACCCAGCTGCAGTCTCCTCCATTCCAGCCTGCTGCCTGGGATGCCTCAACACAGGGTTATCCTTCTGGGATCAAGGTCCTGCATCTCCAAGCTGGAGAGAGATGTGGCCTTGGGCTCTCCAGAATGGGTTGATAGGGTGGGGACAGCCCTGTCCCCAGACAGAGACACTGTCACCGAGTGTCCTCCTCCCCACAGGTGGAGTATCTGCTGAAGAAGATCTGCACAGCCATGAACGTGGAGCTGAACTCCTGCGAGCTGGATGATTACCTGTCCCAGGAGCCGCAGGGCCAGGGCGGCCTCACGGTCTGGCAGTTCCTGGACATGGTGAACTCGGGGCGGTTCCTGAGAGGCATCGAGCAGGAGGCCATCAGCATGGCCGTGGAGGAGGTGTACCAGGAGGTCATCGAGGACGTGCTCAAACAGGCAAGGAGCTCACATATTCTGGGGCACAAGCTCCATCCTGCTCCCACCCTGTTTTGATTTTGTGTCTGTCGGGTGCAGGGCTACCTGTGGAAGAAGGGCCAGCTCAGGAGGAACTGGTCGGAGCGGTGGTTCATGCTGAAGCCCAGTGTCCTGTCCTACTACATGAGTGAGGAACGGAAGGAGAAGAAGGGGAGCATCCCGTTGGACAAGCATTGCTGTGTGGAGGTACAGCCCGGGCCACGCTCAGCTTGGGGACAGCAAACTGTTCAGACCCCTGGAAGAGACCCAAGAACACACAATTTCACACCCATGAGCATGGGAGAGCCAGTCCTGTGGCTAAAGATGGGGGGATAAGGTGGGGTACGGGGGGTAAGGCTGTGCTGTCTCCTCTCCCTGCAGGTGTTGCCAGACAGGGATGGGAAGAGGTGCATGTTCTGTGTGAAGACCGTGTCCCGCACCTACGAGATGAGCGCCTCGGACACCCGGCAGCGCCAGGAGTGGACGCTCGGTCTGTGCCCACCCCACGCCCCTTCCCCAGCTTCCCCATGCCCCCTGTGTGTCCCCCCTAACTGTGCCCTCCATCTCCAGCCATCCAGACTGCCATCCGGCTGCAGGCCGAGGGAAAGAAGTCCCTGCACAAGGACCTGAAGCAGAAGCGCCGAGAGCAGCGGGAGCAGCGGGAGCAGCGCAAGGCGGCCAAGGAGGAGGAGACACAACGGCTCAAGCAGCTGCAGGAGGAAAAGGAGAGGAAGCTGCAGGAGCTGGAGCTGCTCAAGGAGGCCCAGAGGCAGGCAGAGATCCTGCTGCAGGAGGAGGAGCAGCGGCGGAGGCAGCAGCACGAGGAGATGCAGAGGACTCTGGAGATCCAGCTGCGGGAGGCCGAGCAGGTGGGTGCATCCCACATGGGCTGTGGTGCTCAGGGGCTGGGGGCTTCCTTCTCCTTCCCTTGGCCAGGGCAGCCCAGGGGTTTGGATGTACAGAGCTGCTGCCACCCATCACCTCTGGGCTCTGTTGTGCCCGAGATCCCTTTGAGCAGGAGATGAGGACAACCTGCCTCAAGGGGCTTTAGATGGGGGGCAGTGAGAGGCAAATGCTGGTGCCAGGCTGGACAGGGAGCCCATTTCTGACCTCACAGCCAGCACTGGCTCCAAATGACTCAGCTTGTCCCCTGAGCAGGGAAACAGCTTTGCTTTGGACCTGTCACCATGGGCTGCCCCTGCTCTGGCCCGCTCCACCAGTGGGTTCTGGGGACACTGGTGGTGGCCTGGCCCACTGATGGCTCCTGTCCCCGCTGCAGGCTCGCGCCTCCATGCAGGCAGAGATGGTCCTGAAGGAGGCAGAGGCAGAGCGGCAGCGCAAGCGCATCCTGGAGCTGGAGGACATGCAGGAGAGGCTCCAGGAGGCCCTGCAGCAGGAGGTGAAAGCACGGCAGGACGAGGAGGCTGTGAGATATGCTCAGGCCAGGTAGGACCAGGGCAGCCCTCCCCATCCTTGGGCAGCCCTGCTCCCAGGGCAGCTCAGTGCTCCCGGGTACTGGGGGGTGCTGGTGACTTCCCAGTATGCAGGCTGGGACAGGGAAAGCTGAGGGAAGAAGTGGCAGGGAGACATCCTCACCTCCTGCTCTTCGTTGTCAGGCTACTGGCTGAGGAAGAGGAGAAGCTGAAAGAGCTGATGAAGCTGAAGGAGGAGCAAGAAGAATATATCATCAGAACTCAGAGGGAGAAGCAAGTCCTCAAGCAGGAGATGGAGAACAAGAACAAGTGTCTGGAAGAGGCGCAGAAGCAGCTGGAAGAAGTGAGAGTGAACAGGCAGCGGGTGGACCAAGATGTCATGGTGAGCATCACATCCGTGCCACATCCCCTTACACGGTGAACCCCGGGGACTTTCCAGCCCTCCCAGAGTCACCTCCATACTGGGGAGGACCAAGCTGGAACTGCCATGGGGGTTTCTGAGCTGTGCCACGTGCAGGCACGGTGTGATGCAGGGGCACAAGCGTGCCCTGCCCTGGGACAAAGCGCTGCTGTCCAAAGGGATGTCAGCAGTGGGAGTGTGTGAAGGGGGGAGGGTTGGAGGGGGAGCAGAAGGTCTAGAGGAGCGTGAACTGGCTCTCCATCCCAGAGGGAACCTCCAATGCAGGCTTACTCAGGGAAGGGAAACCCATGCCCACGGTCCCAGTGGGGTAGCAGATCACCTTTTCCTCCATGCCCTGCCAGGCTGCCCAGAGGAAGCTGCGACAGGCCAGCACCAACGTCAAGCACTGGAACGTCCAGATGAACCGACTGATGCACCCCATCGGGCCCGGAGGTAGGAGACCAGCTGAGCCAGCTGACCACCCCTCATGGACCTCCCCCATGCTGGGCATCAGCCCACGCCCCCACCCATCTTCTCCTTTTTGGGGGTATCTGGTGGCTGGAAGGACTCTCAGAGAAGATACCGCAATGCCTCCTGCACGGAGGGACTCCACAAACCTTTTTCTCAGCTGAACAGTCAGTTTGGGCCCCAGGTAAACAATTCTCTTTTTCTGTCCACCCCCAGACAAGCGAACAAACGTGAGTGGAGGAGTCTTTGCTGGCTACCAGCCCCTTCTGTCACGGAGAGATTCTTCCCTCAAACTCAAGCAGAGGGTGGAGGATAAAGGCAATGACCCCACCAGAGAAAACAGCAAGGAAAACGTGAGCAACGGTGGGAACAGCAGCACGTCACCATCTCCAGATGCAGACACCATGGCCACAGAGCCCAACAATTAGCCCACCAGGATGGCAGAGCCCAGCTGGGAATGGCAGGGCTCAGCTTGTCCCTCCAAGTGGACGGTCAGTGTGGCGATCTCTGGATGGGGACCAGCACAGAGCCTACAGGGGACTGCATAAGGCACAGGTGCTCCCATTTCCATCAGTGAAGAGCTGCAGTCACCACGTGCCAGGAGGCTCAGGCAGCCCAGTGTTGGGAAGAGGGCAGTGGGACTTTCTCCTCTGGACTGCAGGACTCAATTCCTTGTGCTCTGTTTTACACCTTGTACTAAAAAAGAGCCGCTGCTGGGTCGGGACCGTGTGGCCCAGGGCTGCAGTTCCCCCTTGGTTTCTACACCAACCCTTCTGCATCACTCACTGTGCTCCAGGGTGTGGGGCTTTGCCACCAGCCAAGGACACCTGGACTGACCAAGCAGGGTCTTCTCGTCACCCCACACCACGCCAGGTGTCCCTAACTACAGCTACCACTGTGTTCCCTGGCAGTGGTTGATAGTACTGGAGCCACTTAGTTAACAGAAACTAATAAAGCTTTTGAAGCCTATGGCCACAGACCTGCTGCTCCACACACTAGTGGCCCTGCAGGCACCAGCCCTCTGTCCGTGGCCGGGCAGGGTTTGGATTTCCCCTGTGTGAAAGAGCCCTTTGAAAGGAATCAGCCACAAACTGTGGAAAGTGGCCCCACCAGCAGATTTTTGGTTGGTGTGTGGAGGGCCAAGAGGGACACAGAACAAAACAAAAAAGCCCCAATAACACACCATCGTTTGGGTTAGTTTTTCAAGCACCTCTGTATAAATACAGTCCCAGTCAGCTGTGCCTTTGGGGTGTTTACAGCCAGGGGCACAGAGCCAGGGTCGCCTTTGGAACAGGCCCCGGGGAGCAAGCTCTGCACGACTCCATCTCTGCACTGAGATGAGCTGAGTTCGTTAGGGAGATTATGATCTGTTTCCTCCCCCTCGAACGGCGCTGCCCTCGGTCTCACAGTGTTTCTCTCTCTCAGTTTTTTTCCGCCGTGGCCGAAGGGGCCCGGGACAAAGCTCTCAGTGTGCCGCGGTGCAGGGCAGCCCTGGCCCAGGCCCACGCGGCCGCGCTGACGCACAGCGGGGGCACGGGCACGGCAGGGATCAAAAATCACCTCTGCCCCCTTCCCTCTGTGCTGGCACACCGAATATATCACATATCAGGCGTGGCCCTGAGCCTTGGGCAGTCTCCTCGTGGGGTCCCTGCCTGCGCCGCACCATCCCGGCCAAGCCATTGGGACCCAGGATCCCGCCACTCTGCACGGTTTCTGGGCACAGTGAGCCCTTCCCAGCTCTGCCTCGAGGCTGGGTTATTGTCTTCCCTCGAGGCGCGAGAGGGCGCGGTGCTAATTGCTGGGGGCGAAGGGGCTCACTTGTAATGCTTGGGCTACTTAGGCGCGGAGCCCATTGCCTTGACCCGGCCCGCCGCCATATTGGGTAGCCCTCAGGCCGCTCCGCCCCCAGAGTGCGCCACAGGCAGCGCCTACACTTCCCATGAGTCCCCGCTCCCGCCGCGGGGCGCAGTGCGGGCGGCTCCCGGCAGGGGGCGGTACGGCGCGAAGGGCGGGGAGGCGGGGCCGTTGCCGTGGTGACGCGGGCGCGCGGCCCCCCCGGCGGCGGCGGCGGCGG